GGAGGAGGAGGAGGAGGAGGAGGGCGAGGAGGAGGAGGGAGGAGGAGGACCAGGAGGAGGAGCAGGAGCAGAGAGGAGAGGAGGAGGAGGGAGGAGGAGGAGGAGGAGGAGGAGGAGGAGGAGGAGGAGGAGGGAGGAGGAGGAGGAGGAGGAGGAGGAGGAGGAGGAGGAGGAGGAGCGAGGAGGAGCGAGGAGGAGCGAGGAGGAGCGAGGAGGAGGAGGAGCGAGGAGGAGCGAGGAGGAGCGAGGAGGAGCGAGGAGGAGCCAGGGGGAACGCGCCGCGGAGTCTTCCGCCTCCTCGGTTGCGGAGGCAGCCCCTGCACCGCTGGCGCGGTGGGCACCGCGATCGGATCTCGAGCCTCTCTCGCCTCTCGGGGCGCCGTCTCGCCCCCCGGGGGCCGCGCGCCCCTGGGGAGCCGCACTGCCCCGAGGGCTCGGCCCCGAGGTGGGCCCCGACCCAGACCCCCGCGGGCAGTGAAACAATTCACGGCGGACGACCTCTCGCCACTTTCGGCCCCTGAAGGGGCCCTCGCCGGGCGGCGGGGCCGTCCAAAGAACGACTCGGGATGAAGAGCCCGTCCTGGGGAAGGGGTCGAGACCTCTGGGGGTCGACGTCATGCAGTAATCATGACGTCGGGGGCCTGCTGGCTGCGCGCACAAAAGGGGGTATAGGAGGAGGGCGGAAGGCTCCTCAGAAGGGGGCTGCTTCTTAGAAGCCGCGGGCCTCACGCTTACAGACACGGCCCGCGTATTCTCAGAAGCAGGGGTCCCTCTAAGAAGCCCCCCCCCCTCCCCCTACCCCCTCTGCGCGCCGCCAAGTCTGGGGAGGGGGGCCCGCAGGAGCGCCCGGGCAGGCCGGCCCCGAGGTGTCTCCTGCCGAGGCGGCCCCGGCGCCTCCGAGGTGGGCCCACAGGAAGGCCCCGCGTGCCGCGGCCCGGCGTGGCCCCGAGGTGCCACTCTCCCCTCCCCCCTCGGAATCGAGGGGCAAATTCAAGCGCAGCGTTCCTCCTCCTCCTCCTCCTCCTCCTCCTCCTCCTCCTCCTCCTCCTCCTCCTCCTCCTCCTCCTCCTCCTCCCTTCCTCCCTGCTTCCTCCTCGCTTCCTCCTTCTCCTTCTCTCCTCCTTCCTCCTCCTCCTCCTCCTCCTCCTCCTTCATCCTCCTCCTCCTCCTCCTCTTCCTCCTCCTCCTCCTCCTCCTCCTCCTCCTCCTCCTCCGCCGGGAATCGAGGGGCAAAGCGCAGCACAAGCATGCACCTTCGGAGGTCCGCGCGGGCTTCTTGGATCGGCACGGGGTCTCCCCGCGCCAGGAGGCGGGGGGGCGTTCGCCGCCAAGCCAAGGAGTCCGCGCGGAGGCTCGACATTTTCCAGCCATCCTGTGGTGTAGGGTCCTCGTTCTGAAGAGACGGCGCACCGCTTCTCCTCCTCCTCCTCCTCCTCCTCCTACTCCTCCTCCTCCTCCTCCTTCCTCCTCCTCCTTCCTCCTCCTCCTCCTGCTTCCTCCGCCCTCTCCTCCCTCACTTTCACACGCCCCTCACGCCTGGACCTCCGCCAGGCCGCTCTCCGACCTCCGGAGCACAGCCCCGCCGCGCGAGCGGGCCCCGCGCTCCTTTCCCCCCCCGCCCCTGCGGCCCCCCGTTCCCCCCCCTCTTTGCGTGCGGGCTACTTGTAAGTCGGGCCTGTCCCTCCTACAGGAGGGACGTTCAAACATAGTCTTAAACAAAGACAGGCAGGGGACGACGTGTTTCGACATTTGTGGGTATGTTTTGGGTTTTTTTTGACTATGTCTTATTTTTCGTCCAATATCCCCTTGTAGGGGGACACGCCCGACTAAGGGCTAATTCGTGACCCCGCGCCCCGGCGTCACTCCGACTCGCGTGCAGAGTGCACCTGCCGCGCTGCGACGTAGAAACGCCTGGCGAGGGCCCCATGGAGGCCGAAGATGCAGCGCGCGAGGCCCTGCGAGGGCCCCCTGGATTGGGCCGGACGAAAGGGGGGGATTGGGAAAGGGGGGGTTACGAAATCTGCTGCATGCAGCTGGTTTCGGCCTCACCGAGGGGCCCATTCCTCGATACATGGGCGCCTCCCGGCGCCGGGAGGCGCCGGGAAAATCAGCTACGTGAGCTGATTCTCAAACCCCCCCTTTGCTATCCCCCCCTTTCGCCCGACCCGACTGGAGGCCTCTGGAAGAAACGTGCGTCGCGAGTTCTCCGACGGCATCCGGGTGGGCGCCGCCCCGGCCCAGGGCCCAGGGGGGGGGCCCCTCCGAGGCGGTGCCCGGCGAGGCGCGCCCCCCCTCCGAGGCCCTCCGAGACCACGCATTCGGGCAGGCCTCTGGAAGAACGTGCGTCGTGAGTTCTCCAACAGCATCCGGGTGGGCACCGGCCCTGGGGGGGAGGGGCCTCCGAGGCGGTGCCCGGCGAGGCGCGCCCCCCCCTCGAGGCCCCCCGAGGCCACGCATTCGGGCAGGCCTCGCAGCTCCAGGCCTCCCAGCTGGGGGCCCAAGGCGGTGACGCTGGCCCTGGGGCTGTTCGTTGGCGCGCGTCCGGTCGGAGGCTCTGTGTCGCAGTTTGGAGCACTTGCAGAGCTCTCGTTTGCGAGGTGTGCCCCCCGATGCCCCCGAGACCTGCATTCGGGCAGGCCTCCCAGATCCAGGCCTCCCAGATGGGGCGCTAGACGGGGAACTTGGCCCTGGGACAGTTCTTCTGCGCGTGTTCGGTTGGCGCATCTACGTCGCATTCTAGAGCATTTCCAGAGCTCTCGTTTGCAGCAATCGATTCAGCAGCATCGAAAGTATTTGTCTGCAAGTTCGAGAGATCCTGGATTGGTCTCTTTCTCGAGTTTGGAATCAGAGAAGAAGAGGTAGCCATATTGCTGCTCTTGCCTCGTTTTCGCTTTTGGGGCCTCCTGGGATGCCCTCGTCGCCGCCGCTGGATTCGCTTCGAACTTTTGGTCAGTGCGCGCCCCAGGAGAGGGGTCCGGGGAGCATCATCGGTATCAGTTGGTCTTCCCACGGAGGGTTTGGGATCGGGGCGATCTCGGTGCATCGGCGATGCGGTGCGGCCTGGAGCCCGTTCTTCTACGCCCCTTGCGCCGCCGGTGCATCGGCGGTGCGGCGCGATCCCCCGACCCCATCTGCTCCGCTCCCCTTGTGGGAGGCCTCCGGTGGAGCCCCCCGCAGCCAAACCGCGCCTCCCCCTCTCCCCCCCCCGCCGCGCCTGAGGTCCGAGCCCCCCCCGCCGCCGCGTGAGGGCCGCCTGCCCGGGCCCGCCGCCGCCGAGCGAAGAGGCAGGCAGCCTCGCTGCGGCGCTGCGTCAGCGATGGCGGTGGTGGACGAGGAGCGCTGCTGCTTCCCCGTGGTCTTCGGGAGGGAGGGAGCACAGGCACAAAGGAACTGGGGAACAACTGGGAAGTGTGGGGGGGTGACGAGCATCCAAAACATATACATATATATAGTGTGTATATATATATATATATATATATATTCGTATTGGGGATCCTGGGATGTGTGCCCATCTATTTGTGTGCCCCTGGGCTCCTTCAGAGGAGCGTTGCTTCAAGTCGGGCCTGTCCCTCTACAGGAGGAGTATGCAAAAACAATAAAACAAATAGCCTGACTATTTTTGACCTTTTTGGGGTACCTGGGGAATCTTTTTGATTGGCGCGCGCCGGGGCGGCGGCGCGAGGGAGGGGGGCGGCCTCCTCCCCAGAAGAGGGCGGGGCAGCTGCTGCTGAGGGCGGGGGCCCAGGCCGGCTCCTGGGCGCCCTCGCGGCGTCCCAAGGGTCGACTGGGGAGGAGGAGGAGGAGGAGGAGGAGGAGGAGGAGGAGGAGGAGGAGGAGGAGGAGGACGTAAGAGTGACCTGTCGCCGGAGTGACCTTTGGTGCGGGCACAGATGGGTCCCCAGATGGCTGAACACGAAGCGGTAGCAGCGGCTTGCGCGCCCAGGTTTGGTCCCCCCGCGACCCCCCAAAAAGCCGCGCACCAAAGGTCACTCGTACCCGAGGTCACTCCTGCGCGTAGCCGAAAGGGAGCCTCCTCCGAGACAAAGGCGGGCCTGTGCCTCTACAGTCGGGGCGCTGAAGAAGGAGCCCTCTTTCGTTGGGGAGGGGGGCTCTACAGTTCGCCTTTGGTTTTCCTGAGGTTCTGCATGGGAACTCGAAGTTTCACTGGTGGAAAGAGGGGCCTCGTTCCGTATTATTTCGGGTTCCTTAGCTCAACGCCCCGACTGTACAGGAGGAGCATTTCGGAATAGTCAACAAGTAGTCTGGGAGCGATGTGTTTTACCACGTTTGACAGGCTGTGAACTTTTTTGTTGGGGGTATGTTTGATGATTCGTCCAAAATCCGCTTGTAGGGGGACATGCCCGACCTGTGGTTCGAGGCACCCTGGGCTTTCTGAGCGGGCCCCTGCACCCCATGAGGCAAACGCCCTCTCAGAAGGCGCCCTCCCTCCCACCCCACCGGGTGCGCGGGCGACAGTGCGGTTATCCTCGAGCAGGGACACTGCTTTGGGGAGAGGCAGGATCGAGAACGAGTGAGGGAGAGGATTTGGAGGAGGAGGGAGGGGCGCAGGAGGAGGGGGGGGAGGAGGAGGAGGAGGAGGAGGAAGAGGAGGAGGAGGAGGAGGA